ATTTGCCAGTTTAATTTTAGTTACATTTTTAGTATTTTTGTTGGATTTTGTCATTTTATTTCTATTATTTGTAAAGTCTATTTATATTAAATAGTTTATATCAATTTTCATTCCATGTTTGAGTTATTTTAGTACATCCAGTAAATAAATAAATGTTGCCTTGCCACTAGCTAAAACAAAATACGTCTATCTATATATATATATATATATATATATATAATTTTATTTCAGTAGTTATAACTACAATAACCCTGTCTACAATGATTGAAAGCAAACTGTCATGAATCCTAGACAGAATAAACACATAAATAACATTTTCCTAATAAATAGCATTGCTTATGCAACTTCATAAAAAATGCAAAAGTTCTCCCCAAATAATTCTTAACCTGAATTGTAACATTCTGATCCCAAATTTGCATTGATTGTGAGTTTGTGTTGCAAATAACCTCTCAATTCAGCCAGAGAAACTATTACTTTTTTGGTTAAAATAGAAACACATAACCTACTAGTAAATCAAGAAACGAGGTTAATATTCTAAATTGAATGTCCCTCAAGGGTTTTAGATGCATCCTTCAATCAGGTTTTACCTCTCTATAAACATGTACAGCTCTGACCACATTAGTACGGTTCACATTACGGGAGAACATGATGGAACGCCTTTAAATCAAAATCTTTTACAGCATTTCAGAACTGATCCCATAGAGCAGAACAGTGAAATCCTGCCACAAATCTGATTCAGCATTCACACATCCAAAGCCGAATGGGTTTCTGGCTGGCACTGGCACAGGTGTCGATGGTGATGCATGTCAAGACATGACAGCTGGATATACCTTGTCAGAATCTCAACCCAGCTGAGCTTTGACCACGCGATTTCCATGGAAACCCAGGTGAAAATGACGTAGTATTAAATGTATTAAAAATATACTTGAAATTCAAGTAGTATGTTTATAATACATTTGTATTCCCAACATGCTTATTTGAAGTGCAATAAAAATATATTGAATTTGTTTAATATGTTGTTCAGTTTTACTTACAAGGTTATGCTACTTTGATTGATTAGGCTGTTGTTCATCACATGATACATTAATTGTAATAATCTAGGTGTTTATAAATTTGTTCAAGCTTGACGCCTTTATTTTATAATATATATTTCTGAAATTCCCACAAGGATTTCAACATCATATATGAAAAAAAAAAAAACTTGCGTTTACTTGTTTAAATCTGAAAAAGCACAATTTAAATATATTTATTTTTCACCTGGGAAGGCATTAATCAGACGTTCCTAGTCCACCTGTATCGGATAATGAGGTGTCTAGTCATTTTCTCAGAGCTTAGGAACACACACAGGTCAGGGAGGGAGGGACGAAGTGACAGTGAGTGATTGATGGGCGTAATTAATGCAGTTACCGAGTATAGGTGGCAAGGTAAACACGATTATTCTGCCGTGCCTCCGATTTGGACATAGACAGAGTAACAATGAGTTGAATTCCAGCTTGGTAGGCACCGGAAGAAACATCTAATTAACTCTCCCTATCCCCCTGACTGCATCAGCACTGCTAATGGCTTTGGCTATCTGTTTGATTTTCAATTTATAGTGCAGACTGTGCACCTTATTGCACATGCCGAAGCTGAAAAATGTCCTGAGGAATAAAACATACGATAGCACTATAGTCAGTTTGACAGGGAACTAATAAGGGGCATGTGCAATGCATTGGTGATGATGTGAATTTGTTTATATACGCAGTCGACTAGGGAGCTTTATCTTCGCAACGGCTGACTGTATTAATCTCTGTTTTGAGAAAAAGCTGCTAAGTACGTTATGTAATAGGCTTAGGAAAGAGTGACTCAGAGCATCCTGGAGGTATCGGTGAAGAGTGTGAATGGATTTGGCCTTTCAACAGTCACAGATACTATTCAAGACCCCAGAGAGTCAGATTTGTGTGTGTGTGTGTGTGTGTGTGTGTGTGTTCATACCTAATAAGCAACTGCATCTTTAATGTAGTTCTTGCTCAAGAGGATAACGGGAATTACCACAGCCATCATTCAACTTTAACTTAACCTTAAAGGAATAGTTCACCCAAAAATGAAAGTCTTCTAAAAATCTACTCACCCTCATGCCATCCAAGATCGAAGATTGGAACAGATTTGGAGAAATAGCATTACATCACTTTCTGCAGTGAAAAGGTGCCATCAGAATGAGAGTTCAGTTCAAACAGCTGCTAAAAACATGACAATAATCCACAAGTGAACTGCATCTTTAATGTAGTTCTTGATCAAGAGGATAACGGGAATTACCACAGCCATCATTCAACTTTAACTTAACCTTAAAGGAATAGTTCACCCAAAAATGAAAGTCTTCTAAAAATCTACTCACCCTCATGCCATCCAAGATCGAAGATTGGAACAGATTTGGAGAAATAGCATTACATCACTTTCTGCAGTGAAAAGGTGCCATCAGAATGAGAGTTCAGTTCAAACAGCTGCTAAAAACATGACAATAATCCACAAGTGATCCACACGACTCCAGTCCCTCAGTTAATGTCTTGTGAAATGAAAAGCTGCATGTTTGTAAGAAATAAATCCATCATTAAAGCATTAAACTTTAAACTGTTGCTTCTGGCCATTTTTTGAGTCCATCATCTATAATAATAACACATTAGTCCATTCCCTGTTGTCCTCTAACATCAAAATCCACCAACATATTCATTTAGAACTGTTTTTGCTTGTAAATGGTTCTTAGGATTAGGATTTGGGTTAGGTGTGCATATGTGCATATTTCTCACCTGATTCAGATGAGATTACTTTTTCAATAGAGAAAGCAATATTATGGATAGAGGACAGTTTGAAGTTAAAAAACGTCTTGATGGATTTGTTTATTACAAACATGCAGCTTTTCGCTTCATTGGAGTTGTGTCGATTGCTTGTGGATTATTATGAGGTTTTTATCAGCTGTTTGGACTCATTCTGACGGCACCCATTCACTGCAGAGGATCCATTGGTGAGCAAGTGATGTAATGTGAGAGTTAATCAATTTTCAGCAAATTTTCTTTTTTTTTGTGAACTACTCCTTTAAATTATCAGCCACTTACCACAAAGCTAATATTAGTCAGTCGATTACCCTTCCATAGGCCCACAGGTATCCAAGGGGCTTGGGTTTGGCTGGTTAGGATCAGCCCCTACTGGTCAATGTTGGAACTACACACTCTGCTTAGCGAGCTAAAAACTGTTCAGAATACAAAGTGTTAAATTTTAAAAGCCTTAAATGGCAGGTCTAAAAATAGTAAAGAGTTTGAGATGATGACTTTGAAATAAGTGGGCTGTAAATAAATATCTGTGAGATCGAAGAAGATGAGGCTTCTCATTATGGATCTCATTTGTCTGCTGGTCACTCACTTGTTCAAGCAGC